GACTTAACCCCATGTGCTTTCTGTAGCCCCGCCCAGACAGATTGGATACTACTCTGGAGATTCTACCTTCCTCCATGCCCTCTAGATCTAGGCTCCCTCTTCAAAGCTTGTAAGCCCGTCATTTCTTGCCTTTGTAGCGTCACCATTTTGGGTAGCCAATGTCCAAGTTGCCTATCTCTCTGTCTGCTCTGTGTATGGAGGGGGTGGGAATGATCCTCGCTGTAAAGATGTGTTCCCTCTTTTCAGCTACTGCATCCATATGTGTAGGTCAAGTTCATCAAATTGTATCAGATTACTCTTTTTTCCTCGTCTTTCTTCTTTAGATGAGCTCTGATCATCCAGTCGTTGAAGCCAGGTCAAATGGGTATTATCTGTAAGTGTGGGTGTTTTTGTGCATATGCCCTCTCTTCTTATCAGCTGGATGCTTCACTCTCCACTCTAGTGCTCTGTGGCTATGTCACTGACTGGGCCTAAGAGTCCCCAGGTCTTGCCACACTGCTGGCCAACCAGGTCTCCACCCGGATTCACAGGAGTCTTTTGAACGTTGTAGGGCTTAGCTTGCAGCTTCATTGCTGTTTTTTCCTCACTTCTCCTAATCGGTGACGAATGTGGTCACCAATCAGAGTGCATGTCTGCTCGTGTACTCCTATTGAGTCTTAGTCTGAGAAGGGGGTTTCCCTGAGGGGACCCGACCACTTGCTTTGATGTCTCCTAGGTGAGCAACTTGCTTGTTCTTACAGTAATCAGTCAGACTGCTGTTGTTTTGTATTTTTCTTGTCAGTCTTTCTTTCAAGAGGTATCTTCTGTTCTTCTAGCTGCTCCAGGCTGGTTTACTTGTCCTTTCAAATGGAAATTTTCCACCTCAGAAGATTCTAGGTGAGGTTCAGGATTTTACCTATAGTCTTATGTAATGCAGAGGCTCCACAGGAAGCCTCCTTCACTGGGCACATTGTAGTCCCATTTTAGGTATTCCAATAAGTTATAGGCAGAAGACGGACTTACAAGATTTCTATGGTGATATTTCTGGCTATTCCTTTCTCTCCCCCTCTAGCGTCTATTTTATAATGGTATGCTAGGGAAACCAAGATCCAAAAGACAGCCAAGCATCTTAACATTATTTCCCCCCCTTTCCCCATCTCAACCATGTCTCAATCCCTGTATCTCAGAGCCCTGTTTTTCCAAGGTTGTCCATACATCATTTACCTGTCCCACTTAGCCCATGCACACCTGCCTAATTGTTTTCCCGTCAGCATTGTTCTTCCATTCCCCTCCCCCTTCTTAAGTATTGCCCCTAGGACCTGTGATTTTTTGTAGTTTTTAATCCCATACTATGTCTATCTAATGTATGTTGGGATAAGTCTTTTCATTTAATATACTAGGTGTTCAAATCTGCCCTCTTTTTATGTCTGCTCATAAACTTCAGTTCTGGGGAGTTTCATTACATGGTAAAACCTGTGTATGCTGGAGCCCGTGTAAGGGGGGGAACACTGTTCGAGAAGGAAAACTCAGAAAATTCCCCCTAAAAGGAATGGTAGGAAAGGGACAAGAATCTACCCTGTCAAAGGCGGAAATCTTGTGAAACCAGGAAGCACCAGGCAGTCCTGTGAGATTCGCCTCCCCTGAGTTTCACCATTTCCCTCGATTATTTCCTTCCTTCTAAAATGTTTTAACTATTCGTTCTTTCTGGAGCTTCTGATAATCAGATATTGGACTACTCTTCAGATTACTTCTCTTTTCTCTTATTATCAATCTCTTTGCCTTTTTCTTCTCCTTTCTAGTTTTATTAATTTTGCTCTTCCACTTTGTTGAAGGGTTTGCACTTGAACCTCCCAATAGTGGAAACCTGGAAGGTTGTTTTCAGCACGAAAGGCAGTTGTGTGATTTAGAGAGTTGGTGGTTTAGGAAGGAAAAGGAGGTAGTTGATGTCTCTGTGTGTGTGTGTTATTCACTGTGCTCTTCCCAGAGCGCATGTTCCCTTAGAACGCCTCTTCTAGCTCTGATTGGTCCTGTCTGGTGTGGTGCTGAAAGAACCCTTGTGGCACAGTGGTTAAGCACTCAGCTGCTAACCAAAAGGTAGGTGGTTTGAACCTACCAGCCACTCCATAGGAGGAAGGACCTGGTGACCTGCTCTCATCAAGAGGACAGCCTGGGAAACTCAAGGGGGTGGTTCTCTGACCTGTAGAGTCGCCTGGGTTGGGATGGGCTCCCCAGAACAGCAGCTACCAGCACTGCATTGCTGTGTCTTCACCTGTGTCTGCCCCCCCTGGAGAAGTCAAGGCAAAGCCACGTAGCAGAAACCATCAGGGAAATGACCTCATGCCCTGAAGATCATTCACAGCCTGGCACTGCAGTGACCAGAGAATTGGTATTTTTCAAAGTGACACTGCAAAGAAGATTATCATTCAGTCAGAAAATTGAATTTCTTTCCATTGATGTACTAGCTAGGGGCCTTTGAACTTTTCTGGAACTTTCATTTGGATTCCTGGAGAGTCCAGCTATCATTTTCAAAGGCTATGATTCTAGTTAATAATCTTCTTCAAAGGCTTACTTCATGAATAAAGTATTTTCACAATGTAGAGGACAGCCTGTATTTTAAATTAATGAGGTGATGTCCTGTTTGTTGTTAAATGCCGTCAAGTCGGTTCTGATTCATACCAACCCTGTTCAGAGTTTCCGAGGCTTTAAATCATCTCAGGAGCAGAAAGCCTCATCTTTCTCCCACAAATGAAACGGTCGTCTCTAAAAATAATATTCTCTCCTCTGAATTTAATACCGAGTTGCCTATTACTGGGTGGCTCACTTGGAAGGCTGACACGTGCTGTCTTGATCACCTGGTGTTGCTGTCACAGAAATGCCACAGTGGGTGGCTTTAGAAAATAAATTCATTTGCTCGCCGTTTGGGAAGTAGACTTCTGGATTGAGGGCACAGGCTCTAGGGAAAGGCTTTCTGTGTGGGGACTTGAGGATCAGCCTTCTCTTAGAAGCTTCTGCTTCTTGGGGGGTCTTCCCGAGGCTCAGTGTCTC